TATAATATATGAGTATGTTATACATGTGTTTGTAATATACCATTTATTACATGAATATGGATAGTAGTGATTGTTCATTTCATGCTCAAGGCCTACACCTCCTACTAACATGCTAGCATTTCTTTAGGAAACTTCTCGTAATGAAGTATAATTAGTACGCTCATGTATCCATTACTTTGTAAAACTGTTTATGCCACATACCTGTTTGTGCCATCACTGAACTATGCTACCATCGCAGTATTCTGGATATTTTGTATATATTGTACTCATAATCTTGTCTGCCTTATAATCTTGACATAGCGGACATGCAGACACTGATGATGGACAAACGTTCATGGCATGGCATTGTTGTCGTTGTTGTTGTTGGCATTGTTTGTTCCGCTGAGTAGTAGTAGTAGTATAATGTATTGTACATAATATCAAGAGCTAATAATACCAGAGGTATTAGGAGGTATTAAAGAGGTATTATTAGCTCTTGATAATATGCAGATAATATGAATATATTATATGTGTTTCTGGAAATAGGACATTATGCAATAAAAAAAACTGTCTTGACAGGTTCGCACGCGTACTGAAGCTGAGCAATGACCCGAGTCCCGGCTACAACATCGAGCAACTCGCGAAGGACGGTCGCCGCTTCCTGCCGCTGCCGTACGCCGTCAAGGGCATGGACGTGTCGTTCTCGGGCCTGCTGTCCTTCATCGAAGAGCGAGCGCCGCCGCTGCTCGCGTCGCGCGAGTACACGCCGGCCGACCTCTGCTTCTCGCTGCAGGAGACGGTGTTTGCGATGCTGGTCGAGATAACGGAGCGCGCGATGGCGCACTGCGGCTCGGACGAGGTGATGATCGTCGGCGGCGTCGGCTGCAATCGCCGGCTGCAGGACATGATGGTGAGGATGGCGGAGGAGAGAGGCGCGAAGGTGTTCGCGACCGACGAGCGGTTTTGCATTGACAACGGAGCGATGATCGCGCAGGCTGGGTGGGAGATGTACCGTATGGGGCAGACGACTCCGCTGACAGAAACTACGTGCACCCAGCGGTACAGGACTGATGAAGTTGAGGTGACGTGGAGGAATTAGAGACATGAGTGTGATGAATGTGTGCGTGGAACTCAAACGCAGCTGCATTTAAGCTTCTGTTGCGAGTGCAAGGATTCTACTGATTTCTTTCCATTGATGCAGTGTGTGCCTGGCTATAGTGCATGTGCGTTCGTCATCGTCACTCACGAATATCACCTTAAAATGAAGTCAAATTTACAAAAACCAAATATAGTGTAAACTATCTGAAAAAAATGGTATCCAGGTGAACTCAACTAATAGTTACTTTGTGTTACTGAGCAGAAATAGATAGTTTACCATGTAAATCATGTTCTCTTGTGTTCGCCTAAAGTGCTCTGTTCTGAAATATTTATATTTTTTGGAATGTTTCTATAGTAAAATTATGATAAATAGACACGAAATGTATTTACTAGCAAAGTCTTAATGTTTTTCTACTCTCTTTCGCCTATTACTGCCGATAATTTCCTGTAAATGCTGTTCAAATGCTCCAACACACAACACACAAGTATACTGCACGCACGCGGCTGTCCACAAACAACAACAATAAAGGGAAGTAATAATTACAATTAAGAATAACTCTTGAGAAGAAGAATATTTTGCAAATATTATGCATTTAAAATGAGGCGCAGGTATGCCAGCATAGATTTTATGATAACATACCATCCGTAGACATCATTTAAGAAATAGGACGAAGACCTTGCATGTAAGGTCCCCGCTGCATATAGGCCCTACCAGTCAGTACATAATCTGGCTATGTTAGTGTGTTAGCGAATGCGCAATATCTCACCAGAATAGTTATATTTTCTGATGAATATGCATTTAATATGGTTAGGGGGTATCTCAGCATAGATTTTATGAAATAAATTTTTATATGTAGACCTCTGTTTATAATAATATTAGGAGAGCGCCCAAGCCTGCAGGGTGCAAAACTCTTGCTTCATCCCCTCCCGTTTTCCCACTTTCTTTCTTGCCCCACGCATAGACTCCTTCTTCGTCTACCGCCCTCAGCTATCTTCCTTGCCGTCTGTACTCAGTCTCCCACCTCTCTATCACTCAGCAAGCTACATTGTGCAGTTTGCTTCAGTCCGTTCTGAGCGCCTGAAACCGTGCTCGCACATGCGCAATATCTCATGAGAAGAAGAATATTTTGCAAAAACTATACATTTAAAATGAGCAGCAGGTATCCTAGCATAGATTTATATGATAACATACCATTCGTAGGCCTCACCGAAGAAATAGGACAAATACCTTGCATGTAAGGTCCCCGCTGCATATAGGCCCTACCAGTCAGTGCACAATCTGGCTATGTTAGTGTGTTAGCGCATGTACAATATCTCACCAGAACAGTTATATTTTCTGATGAATATGCATTTAATATGGTTAGGGGGTATCTCAGCATAGATTTCTGAAATAAATATTCACATCTAAACCTGTGTTTATAATTAGGAGAGTGCCCTAGCCTGCAGGGTGCAAAACTCTTACTTCATCCCCTCCTGTTTTCCCACTTTCTTTCTTGACCCTCGCATAGACTCCTTCTTTGTCTATCGCCCTCATCTATCGTCCTTGCTGTCTGTCCCCAGTCTCCCACCTCTCTATCACTCAGCAAGTTATATTATGCAGTTTGCTTCAGTCCGTTCTGAACGCCTGAAACCGTGCTCATGAGAAAAAGAATATTTTGCAAAAACTATACATTTAAAATGAGCAGCAGGTATCCTAGCATAGATTTATATGATAACATACCATCCGTAGACCTCACTTAAGATATAGGACGAAGACCTGGCATGTAAGGTGTCCGCTGCATATGTCAATAAGTACACAATCTGGATACGTTAGTGTGTTAGCGCATGCGCAATATCTCACCACGGGAGTTATATGTTCTGATGAATATGCATTTAATATGGTTAGGGGGTATCTCCGAATAGATTTCTGAAATAAATTTTTATACGTAGGTCAGTGTTTATAATTAGGAGAGCGCCCTAGTTCGTAAGGTGCAAATCTCTTACTTCATCCCCTCCTGTTTTCCCACTGCCTTTCTTGCCCCTCGCATAGACTCCTTCTTCGTCTATCGCCCTCAGCTATCTTCCCTGCCGTCTGTCCTCTGTCTCCCACCCCTCTATCACTCAGCAAGCTACATTGTGCAGTTGGAAATCTATGCGGAGATACCGCCTAACCATTTTAAATGCATATTCATCACAAAATAAAACTCCTCTGGTGAGATATTGCGCATGCGCTATTACACACTAACGTAGCCATATTGTGTACTGGCTTATATACCCAGCAGGGACGTTACATGCAAGTTATTCCTCCTATTTCTTAAATGATGTCCACTGATGGAATGTTATCATATAAATCTATGCTAGGATAACTCCTCTTCATTTTAAATGTCCTAATCTTTGCAAAATACGATTTCTCTCGGTAGATATTACGCATGCGCGCGCACCGTGTTAGGAGTGTAGTGCCGTCTGAGGCAAACATTATAATATAGCTTGCTGAGGGAGAGAGGGGATGGGAGACTGAGGAAAGGCGGTAGGGAAGATAGCTGGGGCGGTAGAAGAAGAAGGAGGCTGAGCGAGGGACAGGGGAGGCAAGGGGACGGATGCGAAGGCATAACATAAGTGTTTTGTATCCTACATGCTATAGGGCGCTCTCCTAATTATAAACACAGGTCTACTGATACAAGTTTGTTAGGGAAATCTATGCGGAGATACCCTCTAACCATTTTAATTGCATATTCATTACAAAATATAACTCTTCTTGTGAGATATTGCGCATGCGCTAACACACTAAGGTAGCCAGATTGTGTACTGGCTGGTATGCGCAGCGGGGACGTTACATGCAAGGTATTCCTGCTATTTCTTAAATAATGTCTACTGATGGAATGTTATTATATAAATCTATACTAGGATAACTCCTCTTCATTTTAAATGCACAATCTTTGCAAAATCCGATTTCTCTCGGGAGATATTGCGCCTGCGCGCGCACCATGTTAGGCGTGCAGTGCAGTCTGATGCAAACTTCATAATATAGCTTGCTAAGGGGGAGAGGGGATGGGAGACTTAGGAAATCCGGCAGGGAAGATAGCCGGGGGCGGTAGAAGAAGGAGGCTGAGCGAGGGACAGGGGAGGCAAGGGGAAGGACGCGAGGGCATAACGTAAGTGTTTTGTATCCTACATGCTAGGGCGCTCTCCTAATTATAAACACAGGTCTACTGATAAAGGTTTATTAGGGAAATCTATGCGGAGATACCCCCTAATATTTTGTGATGAATATGCATTTAAAATGGTAACTCCTCTGATTGCGCAAGAGATATTGCGCATGCACTAACACACTAACGTAGCCAGATTGTGTACTGGCTGGTATACACATATAGACCATGAAAATAACCATTAAAACCAACCAGATCACCACATTGATGACGTGCGTGTGTGTGGCTGCCAACTGACACCATATTAGAATAGCTCACGTCGACACATGACTGAGCAGAAATTAATTCTGAGGGTTGGTTGTTTAAATCCAGGAGGCATGAACGTAAACTTTAATTACGTGTGATTTTTTGAGTCCTTTGCTTCGTTGTGTGTTTGTGTGTGTGTGTGTGTTTTTGTGCGTGTATATATATATATATATATATATATATATATATATATGTG